AAAGGTACTAACTTTGGTTTTCTTCGGTCAAGTATTTTCCATCCTACGCAGGCCTCGTAACCTACCATTACACCCCGCTGCAACCCACAAAGGCACGGCCACAGGTAAGTACTGGGCCCGAGGGCCATCCCATCATACAAGCACCCTGGCGGGTCACACACACACCCAAGCAATCATGCACTCAGACAAACACACGGAAACCCAGCAAACACACACACACACACACACACACACACACACACACACACACACACACACACACACACACACACACAAGCTTAGAATCTCAGCAGAAAGCGGAATCTCAGCAAGTCACACAATCCAGCAGCAAAACTCAGAAAACAGCAGAGTTCTCAGTCCGTGATTTCACAGGTCATTACGCTCCTAAGGAAAGAAAAAGTGATGGCTGTGTATGGCCTAAGCAAGTAATCCAACCAGAGACGGCTCTCGAAAACCTGGAATGTGATCCAGCAGACTGGGCTTGGATACCAGAGCAAGGGAGCTGGAACAGAAACCCAACTCCAATAACAGGCTATCCTAAAAACCAGGGATCCTCTCCCGACCTTTTCATTTTCCTTTTTTCCCCCAATTCTAAGGAGGTTGGCAGGTATCATAGTATCCAAAAATCCATTCCATGAATCCATGCTACAAATTTATGGGAATAACCCCAGATCACAGGTTCACACTGCCTGATAGCATATATCGCACTTCCTGTCAACTTATGGCTTTGCACATACAGAGAAAGCGCGAGTGCGCTAACCGGACCGGTAGGCAAGGCCCTATCACACTTCGGTTGACTTCCTCGTCAGTTTCGAGGAAGGCGAGGGTCCTCCCCGCCATAGCCCGTGACTTTGAGCGGTCAGAGTGGAGGAGAGGGTCCTCCCCTTGGGAGCCCTTGGGCGTACAGGCGCTACGTCTACACAAGGAGGACAGCAGCGGAGGCGCCAGCTGTGAGACTGACGAGAAACGTGATTGCGGCGCAGCTCTATAGGTAAAAGATGGATTTGGAGAGGGAGCTACAGCTTGGAGCAAACGAATGGCTGATTACCATGGAGAACGGATGCGGATGGTTACAGGAGATCGTGAGGGACATGTCTTTGTGGCTGCAAGCGGAGCCAGAGGTCAAAAGGGGAGCGATTTCTCTGGCTGGTTGGCTGAAGGATAAAAGTGAGGACATCCTGGAGATCATCTGGGAGCTGGAGGAAGGGCTGGATCCCCGGCTCGATGTCTGCATCGACTGGAGGAGGGCAGATGGCATCATGTCCGTCTGCAAAGCCCTCTTCAATGAGGGCCGCGATCTGTGTGCTCTTCTGGAGGACCGGTTGGAGGGCGATACTGATGGGGAGGAGGCGCATGTCGCAACAGAGGTAACAGCGTTAACATCAAGACCAACAACAACATCAATAACAACAACAACAACGCAACAACATCGACACCGGTGATATTGGCGGCTGCGAAGACAACGAAGGTCACAACGCCAATACTGATCACAAAAACGACATCATCGTTCGCGGCGCCTGCAGTGTTGGCGGCGGCAATGACAACAGTGACACAAGCACACCAAAAACAATAACGACGACGGCAACAACGATAGCAATAACAACAACAACAGCATCAACAACAAAAATAACAGCAACAGCAACAACAGCAGAGGTGACGACAACGGCGGCAACAACAACAACAACAACAATAACGCCTAGTACTGCTACCTTCCCCCCCTTCTGTGTGGTGTCTCTCCCTGTTGATCCACTTATCTTCGCTTCACAGCGGGTGGGAGTGGGATAAACGACCACCCTCTATTGATTGGGGTTGTCCGGCCTTCAATCCCCAATCAGGATGAGGTGTAGGGGTAGGTTGTTTAGGGTTTCGTGCATGGGTGCGTTTTGGCTGTTGGGGTGCTTGATGAAGATGGCTAGGGGATAGGGTTTTCCCTTCAGGGGACATGTATTAATTGATGAATGAATACAGTCAGATTGGATGTTGTCTGATATGGATTGTGTAGGACATAGTTACAGAACACTGTATAGGGACACTGGACCCGATTTCCAGCTAACACACATCACATTATTGTAATACACAACACATCTGATTCAATGGTTAGGGTTCTGTCTGATAGATAAGATCGGGCCCGATGCCTCTGTTTGCTTTGGAGACACTGTAGATCAGATGGATCCCATCATCTGACATATATTGCTTAAATGTGCATACATAGGTAGTTGGAGATATCAAACACATCTCTACATAGAGACGCTGGACCCGGTTTCCAGCAGATACATTCACATCATTGTACAGGGACGCTGGACCTGATTTCCAGCAGGTGTAGCTCCCCACCAATAGATGGAGCCTTCGACGCCGGGACCTGATGCTCTTATCACCTCGTTAAGTAGGTTTGCTGTATACGAAGTTAAAAAAAAAAAAAAAAAAAAAAAAGGAGACATGTCTTTTTTTTTCTTTTTTCTTTTTTCTTTTTTAGGAGACAGAAGTCTTATCCAAATCACAAGCGGTTAGCAGGGACCCCCACTTTTCAGCCCTGGTTAACCCCCCCAGCACTGAAAAGTGCATTTTGGGATTGTTTTTTTCAGCTTTTTTTTTTTTTTTTTTGCCCTGTCTGGCTTAAAAGGTGTGGGACGTGACCCTTCAAAAACCCTACCCTGCAAATTTAGGGATCTGTTAACCGCTTCTCATCCAAATACCTCTGAAAGCACGGACGGAAAGATATAGAAGATATAGTGCACTGCTTAGTCAAATGCAAGGAAGCAACACAATGCTGGGCAAGGGCTACGGTCTTCAACCGAATAGAACACCCGGTCATTATAGCTGTATTTGGGCCAACTTCCAGTCTAAATACAGCGATAATGACCGGGCGTTCTATTCGGGTGAAGACGGTAGCAACCATTAGAACCACTAACTAATTCTCTTCTTCTTTCTTAAAAGAGCGATGGCATTGAGGTATCGTCATCGAGTTGACCAGCCCCAGGTAATTTAGAATTATTCAAATAATAATTGCATATACATCTCGGTCCATCGGGATCCGAACTTGGGTCTGCAACCCTCTGGGCTAAGCAGAAAGAGAAGTGCTCCATTACTGTGGATGGTGGCAGAAACCCTATAGAGAGAAAGTCTGGGCTGCTGCTACAAAGGGCATGATCGAGGCAGAAATCAACTGCAAGTGGAGAGCAACTCAGGTCTGCATGCATGCAATCATGGCCGGAGCGGGAACGAGATCTGAAGCGCACGTTCCAACAAGATACGGTTAGCGAATGGACTAGTGGCTGTCTCTTATACACATCTAGATGTGTATAAGAGACAGGAAAGAGAAGTGCTCCATTACTGTGGATGGTGGCAGAAACCCTATAGAGAGAAAGTCTGGGCTGCTGCTACAAAGGGCATGATCGAGGCAGAAATCAACTGCAAGTGGAGAGCAACTCAGGTCTGCATGCATGCAATCATGGCCGGAGCGGGAACGAGATCTGAAGCGCACGTTCCAACAAGATACGGTTAGCGAATGGACTAGTGGCGACCATTCAAATCTTCTGGTTCGGTGGCGGGATGGCATGACTCCGGTTAAGATAAGAGGGGAAGTGTAGATGCAGCATCGAGAGGAAAAACACCTGGACCTGACTATGCTTTTTGACATCTTCATAGAATCTAGTATTTCACGGAGTGAGCGGGAAGAGCCTGCTAAGGCTGATAGGAGTAGACTCAGTAGAGATATCACTGAAGCAGTGACTCATGTTTAAACCATCACTAGTAGCTTTCCCAGCTATTTTTCAGAGATGGAGCTCATTAACGGCCGCATCTTTTCGGGGGTTGGGGTACCAGACCAAAATGGCTGGCAGCGCAGGCCAAAAGGAGGCTCGCACCAGTTCGTTTTTTTCACTTCTTCGGCGGGCAAAGGCCGATTTTAGCGTCGGCATCTATAGCTGGGCGAAGTACTGGAGGTTTACACCGCCACCACACACAGCCCCAGCCTTGCAAGATTTCTTCATGACCTACTCCTATAATTTCGGAGGCCCCAGGCTAGCAGACCACAATTGCTGGCAGAAGAAATGTGCCGCTTGCGCAATTGGGCACCACACTGCCAGCCCTGGGTGTACTGGCGGTTTAAGAAGTAGAAGAGAGAAAAAGGGTCAGATCCCACTACCCTGGATTATTCATTTTTCACCCTCGATTACGAAGATCAACGGTCAGAAATGAACAATAGGGGCTAGTGGGATCTGGTCCAAAGAACAGGGTTGGAGCAGAGGTATGTCTTTCCTACTTAGGAATCAATCAATGCCACTGACAAGCTTTTCCTTCGACCATAATGGAAGGAAGTATGGAGTATTGGGTAGAACGATGTGAGGGATGCTGGGCCCCATTTTCAGCAAGATTGCTAAAATTCAGGCTTTCGTTTAAGCCACCAGTAACTCCGAACCTTCTTTTGCTGAGGCAGATTCCCCACGCGCACAAAATAAAAGAGCCACCATGGTCCGCGGACGCATTTTCTATTTTGTTTGCCTTGGGCCGCCAGCCCTTCTAGTCCTGGTATCTCTGTTCGTCTCAAGAAACCACTATGTTACATTTTCATTTCTTGACTTTGCATGGGAAAGATACTGTGTGGCCTTATGAATGGAGGCCACACTTCCGTTGTACAGGCCCACGCACTGCTGGTTTAATACACGCAGCAAGGATTTTTCTCTTGGTTCAAAAAATAGGCCCTACTGCACTGATAGTCTAACGAACAGTCGAACCACGATGTTTGAGACATATTACCTTCCCTCATGTTCTTCTTTCAACTCCATGGCGGAGTGCCAAGTGACACTCTCTCTCTCTCTCTCTCTCTCTCTCTCTCTCTCTCTCTCTCTCTCTCTCNCTCTCTCTCTCTCTCTCTCTCTCTCTCTCTCTCTCTCTCTCTCTCTCTCTCTCTCTCTCTCTCTCTCTCTCTCTCTCGCGTGCGCGCGCGCGCACGCATGCATACGCAGTCAACCGGCCCTCACTCGCTCACAAACTGTGTGCATGATGTCACAACATCGATAATAAAAGATACTTTCAAACAAATTTGAAATTTCAGATTAACAATCGAACAGTCAGTGATCAGCTTCAAGAGTGCAAGTGGGTGTCCATGTGTCCATCCAACTCAATACCCTCGCCTTGACCCCACCCTGAAATCCACCCCCTTCACACTGTTGAATCTGAAAGTGGTGAGTATCGCACGAAAAATGTTTTACAGTGACATTTACTTGGGGAGAATTGTCCCGTGGTACATTTGGTCCAGCAGCTCTTTTGCTTCTGGCCGCCGAAGCAAGCCTCGCACATTTGCTTGCCCTGTTCCCAAACAAATTGGGCAAACCAGCTTGCCCCTTCCATAACAGTTGGGGCACTCCACAAACTCATAGGTATCACTCGCTCTCTTTCTGTTCAAGGCTTTCCATTTCCCTGTCCCTCCGCACATGTCGCAGACAATAACTCCTGAGCCACTGCAGTTCCTACACACTGCAGGTTGAGCATCCATTTTGCGGCTCGATCGCTGTGGCGACTCCCCTTCAGCACGAGCCTCATCATCCCGATGACCCATCAAAGCGACAGCAGCTGACGCGCATGCACTACAGACAACAAGTCTCCGTCGATGCAGTTGCACCTTATGACACTCCGCTGAGTACTCTGAGCTATCACCGCGTGTCCCATCGCTGCTTGAATTTGGGTCAGTCTCGTCGCATTTCAATGCGCTAGCATCACCATCGTTCGTATCTGGCTCGTCGTTCGAAGACCCGCGGTCTGCAGCCGGCTCGGTCGATGCAAGTACTTTGAAGTCCACATTACTCCGGCTTCCTTTGTTAGGTGTCCATGCTCCCGCAGAAGCTGAACGCGGGTGATGCAAGGCGGCAAGTTCCATGTGACTGAGCCTAGAGGCATCAGAACAAGCAGACGAGGACAGTCCAGCAATAACAGAGGACCTCCTCTGCCCACTGGCACTGGGAGAAGGACAGGTTGAGAGCGACGAGAACGAGTACGAAGTACACGGTAACGATGCAGCAGCTGACGCCGTGCACTTCTGCGCAATTCCTTTCGTCCCTGATCTCAGCAACATAGTAGCAGAAGATCCTGGTGTTGAAAAGTGAACCTGAGGGTCTCTGAGAGAAGACGATCTGGGCATAGCCATAGCAGCTAATGCACCAGAGCAAGCTGCCGCTGTGTGGGAGGCGGCCATTGTCGACAAGGCAACAGACAATACGAAGGCGATCACAGCAGCACTGAAAAGGTGGTATGGTAGCTGATCGACCAGATCAATCTGTTTGCAGCGCTGGAAGGGCTAGGGCTGCCTGCAGCTCTTCCCTCATGGTTCATCCCAGAACACCTTCCATACATAACCAACTGCCCATCAAAATGGGTTTCTCCTTTCAACAGCTACACCTGTATGCCAACCAAAGCAAAAGAAAAAACATTTGTAAGCGGGATTTCTGTTACTGCAGTAAAAACGAGATTTCTTCTTCTTTAAAAAAAAAAAAAAAAAAGGAACTAAGCGGCTATATTCTTCTCTCAATATAACTAGGAATGATACACACCTTGATCTACCCTCCAGCGACAAGCTACACTAACGGTTATGGGTTGAGCTTATCGCCTCAGGGTTGAACCTAACCCCTGGCAACGGGTGCCATTCCCCACCAACCAACCAGGAGGGACAAGCTATCTCAGCTGGTGCACGAGCAGCGTGCCTCAGGAGGTGTGGGGGTTCGGTTTGGGGATTGTGGGGAATCGAACCCACAACCTCCTGAATGCCACTTTCGTGCTCTACCAGCTGAGCTAGGCTTGCTTGGCGAGATTTCTGTTATTGCACTACAGCAGGGATAGCCATTGAAAGCAGAAGAAACCGTCTGTAAGTGGGATTACTGTGATTAAACCGCCAGTACATGGCCCCAGCCAACTCCAAAAAGCAATGGCTTGCTCCAAAAATTTCGGCGGCTCGGGGATACCAGACCACGATTGCTGGTGGCATCAGCCGAAAAGGAAAAACAGCGCACCGCTGGCGACTCAGCAAAGCTTGGCATGCAGTGCGAGTCCGCCAGGCTCGAGTGTACTGCTGGTTTAATGTCCAGCAGAGCGGAAGGTTGACATCAACTGATTTGGCGCGTTAGCCCGTAGAAAGCACGCCTCTTGGGATGGACAAAATTTGGAATATGGGTACTGAATTGACAGATACAGGAGTTGGCAATCCCTGCAGTAGCCCAGATGTAACCAGGCACATGATCTGCATCTTGCTGTGTGCACCAAACAAATACACTCTGAGAGGGCGGCTGCACGGATTGCCCAGACCCAAACGGGGCCTTGTGGTACAAAAGTGAACTCGCACTCTTCACAAAGCTATTTCTGTCCTTGGAACGGCACAGAGAGAGAAGATCGGCATGGCCCCATGCGCAAGGATGACACACCTAAATCGAGAAATGGTATAAAGCTATTTTCCCAGCCAACGCCTGACCTGGCAGCCCTCCCCTAGCTTGGTAAAGCAGTGCCCGGTCACGCGAGGCCTCCGCCAGTTACAGCAGGCTTCGCCTAGCTTGCTAAAGCAATGCAGGGTTAGGTGAGGCCTCTGCCAGTCACAGCAGGCTTCCCCTAGCTTCCTAAAGCAGTGCAGGGTCAGGTCGGGCCTCTGCCAGTTACAGCCAGGCTTTATAACTGTTGGCCCCCTCGCAAACCAGCACAGCACTTCCCGCTCCATTGCCGCATATTGTGGCATGGGGGGGAAAGCTCCCCGGGAAGGACCATTGTCCTAACTAACCCTGGACTCAGAGGCACAACAGCCACAGGAGGGAACAGGTAAGGCTAAAGCTAGGCCCCTCGCCGTGTTGGCAGGAGGACGAACACGTATCTGAGCAGTAAAGAGGGTCAGGTGCAGTCCATACCCCTGCACAGTGGAGAAGGCAGGCACATTATGACCAGGCTATTTTTGTCTATCCTCCTAGGAGAGTCCAAAGATAAGAGTGCGGCCGTCACACCCCAATAGCAGGGTGGGGGGGGGAGCTGGCTGGGACTGAATGTGAGGGTGGAAAAAGGGGTACTGGGCCGAGACAGATGGGCTAAACCAGAATGACCACGGGTGAAGGCACAAGGGTTGCGAACTACCGTCTTCACCCGAATAGAACGCCTGGTAGCCGTATCTGGGCTGAAAGTTGTGCCCAATACAGCTATAATGACCGGGCGTTCTATTCTGGTGAAGACGGTAGTCCAGCGTCGTGCCGCCCTGTTCGGACTCTTCATTCCACACCACTTCACAGTTTCCGTTATGGAGCCACATTCATGTTTATGCTTCTACGTTCTGTATTCGCCCAGATACATAACTCCACAAGAAAAGAGAAAAAAAGTGACTGGGACAGTCTGTTTCATTCGACTTTCACCAACTCATCAGCAGATCGTCTGTATTCAAAGATTGGATATTCTTCTTGTACGTATGAACTTTTGCTCTCTTTGAAACAACCGAAAAGTCTTTCTTACACTACTAATGTCCACTAATACAAAATTTCATATAGTTTGTTGACAGCTGTCAGAGTGTGCCAAAAACGTGGACAGCTGTCAGAGTGAGCCAAAACCGTGAAAGCCCGGCATTGTTCCACTCACTGTCCACTATACAGCACTCCAACCGTGACAGCACTACAAGACAGGGCGGTCAAAAAAATCGTTTTGTCCGCCCAGACTCCAAGGACAAGTACACTCTCCAAGTCCGGGGGCGAGGTCCCACTAGCACAGAGGATTAGATCTAACGCCCGAATCTAGACTCGTTTGAGGACAGATACAGAAAACCGTGATTGGTCAGCTTTTCTGCATCTCCGCCAAGAACCTATCCAGATTCTGGTTCCTAGTTCGATCCACGTTGCTGGAGGGACCCAGGCCCGGGTCCTCATCGTCAGTTCCTTGAACTACTTTCCACATAACGAATTTTGCAGGCTGCACGCTGGGAGCTATACAATTGCGTCCATCCGACTTCTGCCTGCTGTCCCAGCAGTTGTTCACACTCCACAGGACAGTGGACAGTAAGACTTAGTGGAGTGACGTCCGACTGTCCTTTTTTTTTTTGTGTGTGTAGTGGACAGTAGTGGAGCGAGGCCCAGACTGTGGGGATTCGATCCCCTGATGAGTTGAGTTGGTGAAGGTCCAATTTAACAGGCCGCCACAGTCTATTAAATTGGACCTCCCCATGAAAAGGGGTGACTGTGACAGCCTGTTAAATTGGACCTTCACCAACTCAACTCATCCGGAGATCGAATCGAATCAGCTCCCACAGTCTGCCCAGGGTGCATCCGATTGATGGGCATAAGGACTCTCATCACCTTGCCCAAAGGTTTTGATATCCTGACACAGATGCAAAGTGGTCAACTTTACTCACACAGACCCTGCAAGCCTACCGTCTCCCTCGAATAGAACGCACGGTAATTAAAGCTGCATTTTTTTTTGGGCAATATTCAGTCTAGATACGGCAGTAATGGCCGTAGCATTCTGTTGGGGGACGGGAGAAGACGGTAGCAGACTGTCTAGTTCAAACCCAGTCAATAACGGCAGTAGGTTTGCGAAACTAGTCAAAACCCACTCTACATACCCACTCTGTGTGTGTGTGTGTGTGTGTGTGTGTGAGAGAGAGAGAGAGAGAGAGAGAGAGAGAGAGAGAGAGAGAGAGAGAGAGAGACAGAGGAGTGGGGCCGGGGGACGGGAGATGCCTCGTCAAAAAGGGGTTTGCTTTGCCGGGGGAGGGGAAGCCACCTGGCTGGTATGATCTCTCCCTATAGAAGAGCCGCAGGTAAACACCAAATACCCAACAGCAAATGGCTTTTAAATCTATACTAAAGTGCAAATAGGACGCTGAGCCTGGTTGTCAGCAGGTCATGGACCTTTCATGCCCAACTGAGCAGTCGTCCATTCCCAGGGTTGCCCTGGGTCTGTAGGCTGCTAAGAATGCTGACGTTCTAATCAAAACCAATAAACACAAGAAAACACACACACACACACAAAAAAAAAAAAAAAAAAAAAAAAAAAAAAAAAAA